CTTTTACTGGACTGTTACCTGTTAAAGTTTACTTCAGTGTTATCTGGCTGTCTTAGGAAACAGTTGATAATGGGGTTTAAAGCCAATCGGCTGCATGTGACATTTTCGCCACCAGACAATAATATTGTAATAGCTAAACTAAGGATTGAAGTAAAGTCTTAATACATACTGTATAGGTTGAGAGAAATACACCTCTCAGTGTATTTCTCCTGAGGAAGCATTCAGCTGATTAAAAAAATACAGAAAAAAAATTGCAATAGAACACAACTGTGAAAAGAAATTTGAAAAATACTGAAAACCATCTTTTTCACTGTTTTCTGAGTCTCACAAACGAATTATACAATTGGCTACAAACTTTCAGCGTGAGAGTATCTTACATGGAGGAAGCTTCGAATACCGTATTGAAAAGTATAGATGCCAATTTGCCTATTTTATATAAGGAAATATGACCGTTGATTCCTGGAGATACCTTGAGAACACCTCATCTGTTGTGCACCATACTGAGGTTTGCAGTGTTACTGCAGTGTTACCATACTGAGGTTTGCAGTGTTACTGCAGTGTTACCATACTGAGGTTTGCAGTGTTACTGCAGTGTTACCATACTGAGGTTTGCAGTGTTACTGCAGTGTTACCATACTGAGGTTTGCAGTGTTACTGCAGTGTTACCATACTGAGGTTTGCAGTGTTACTGCAGTGTTACCATACTGAGGTTTGCAGTGTTAGCAGTGTTACCATACTGAGGTTTGCAGTGTGTTACTGCAGTGTTCCATACTGAGGTTTGCAGTGTTACTGCAGTGTTACCATACTGAGGTTTGCAGTGTTACCATACTGAGGTTTGCAGTGTTACTGCAGTGTTACCATACTGAGGTTTGCAGTGTTATGCAGTGTTTACCATACTGAGGTTTGGCAGTGTTACTGCAGTGTTCCCATACTGAGGTTTGCAGTGTTACTGCAGTGTTACATACTGAGGTTTGCAGTGTTACTGCAGTGTTACCATACTGAGGTTTGCAGTGTTACTGCAGTGTTACCATACTGAGGTTTGCAGTGTTACTGCAGTGTTACCATACTGAGGTTTGCAGTGTTACCATACTGAGGTTTGCAGTGTTACTGCAGTGTTACCATACTGAGGTTTGCAGTGTTACTGCAGTGTTACCATACTGAGGTTTGCAGTGTTACCATACTGAGGTTTGCAGTGTTATCGCAGTGTTACCATACCGAGGTTTGCAGTGTTACCATACAGAGGTTTGCAGTGTTACCGCAGTGTTACCATACTGAGGTTTGCAGTGTTACTGCAGTGTTACCATACTGAGGTTTGCAGTGTTACCATACTGAGGTTTGCAGTGTTATCGCAGTGTTACCATACTGAGGTTTGCAGTGTTACTGCAGTGTTACCATACTGAGGTTTGCAATGTTACCATACTGAGGTTTGCAGTGTTATCGCAGTGTTACCATACTGAGGTTTGCAGTGTTACCGCAGTGTTACCATACTGAGGTTTGCCGTGTTACCGCAGTGTTACCATACTGAGGTTTGCAGTGTTACCGCAGTGTTACCATACTGAGGTTTGCAGTGTTACCGCAGTGTTACCATATTTAGGTTTGCAGTGTTACCGCAGTGTTACCATACTGAGGTTTGCAGTGTTACCATACTGAGGTTTGTAGTGTTACCGCAGTGTTACCATACTGAGGTTTGCAGTGTTACCGCAGTGTTACCATACTGAGGTTTGCAGTGTTACCGCCGTGTTACCATACAGAGGTCTGCAGTGTTACTGCAGTGTTACCATACTGAGGTTTGCAGTGTTACCGCAATGTTACCATACTGAGGTTTGCAGTGTTACCGCAGTGTTACCATACTGAGGTCTGCAGTGTTACCGCAGTGTTACCATACTGAGGTTTGCAGTGTTATCGCAGTGTTACCATACTGAGGTTTGCAGTGTTACCGCAGTGTTACCATACTGAGGTTTGCAGTGTTACCTCAGTGTTACCATACGGAGGTCTGCAGTGTTACTGCAGTGTTACCATACTGAGGTTTGCAGCGTTACCGCAATGTTACCATAATGAGGTTTTGCAATGTTTCCGCAGTGTTACCATACTGAGGTGGAGTGTAACCGCAGTGTTACCATACTGAGGGTTGCAGTGTTACCGCAGTGTTACCATATTGAGGTTTGCAGTGTTACCACAGTGTTACCATACTGAGGTTTGCAGTGTTACCGCACTGTTACCATACTTAAGTTTGCAGTGTTACCGCAGTGTTGCCATACTGAGGTTTGCAGTGTTGCCGCAGTGTTACCATACTGAGGTTTGCAGTGTTACTACAGTGTTACCATACTGAGGTTTGCAGTGTTACCGCAGTGTTACCATACTCAGGTTTGCAGTGTTACAGCAGTGTTACCATACTCAGGTTTGCAGTGTTACCGCAGTGTTACCATACTGAGGCTTGAAGTGTTACCGCAGTGTTACCATACTCAGGTTTGCAGTGTTACCGCAGTGTTACCATACTGAG